TAGTGGAGTCTATGTTACCATTTTGGATAGTGTTTTGGATTTCTTGAAGGGAGGAGGAGCGGGCTTGGGTGAATTCGAGGAATTTTTGATTTGCAAAGTTATAGTCATAATTCGCGGAAAAGACAGTTAATCCGCACCCAGGATTAACAAAAAATTTAAATTTCAATGTTCCATTTGAAAGAATTTCTGAATTCTCTTGAACACTTTTTTTATTTACTAGTAGCCACCAATCATAGCTAAAAATAAAGTGAAAATTGCCAGGAAAATCAGCAAGACCACAAGATCTTGACTCAAAATCAATGAACTTTATGGGTGGAATATAACCACTTTTACCTTCGGAATAGATTTGATGTAATTTCTGACTTAGTTCATTAGAAAGTAAGCGACATTTTCTTCGGTTTTCATTTATTTCTACTAGTTCTAAATCAGCAAGAGAAAAAATGAATTCACTCGCGGACTGATTTTTTGCTTCAAATATTTTTTTTTGATTTTCAGTAAATCCTTTGAACATGATATTTTATTATTTACTCTGATAATTTTGTTGAAAATTAATTTAAATTAAGTTCTTTCTTCATAATTTGTTAATATTCCTCTATTGATAAGAAAATCCGGAGAACAAGATCCATCACTTCTGGAATGAATGATACCCACCATTTTTTTGTTTCGCTGCGACTTATGAAAGATCAACTTGTATTTTATAAATGTTTTTTTGCTCCCTTCTAAATGAATTCAACCAATGTTTAGAGAAAAAAGATTCAGGCATCGTGATATGTCCACCGTTCCAGAGAAATTTCAATCTTCTGCTAAACGAACTATAAAAATACCAGCGTTAAACTCTAATTTTGATAAACTTGCTTGATAACCCGAAATCTTAAAACAATGCAGCGAAGTAGGAAAATCTAGTCCTTTTAAATTAGGGCAATCCTTAATTTCAAGTTCTCTTAATTTGTTGGGTAACTTTGGCTGCTTTAAGTTAGGAGAATCTAATAAAAGGGGAATAACCCCATAAGAGAAAGGAAAATTTAAATCAAGATTATCTGATATGATGTCGTGTAAATCTAAATGACGTCTCATATATAAATCCGCATGACGTTCATCACTAAAAGGCTTGATGATTGCTCTTAATCAAAGTTCAAAATCTTTCTTTTGCTTTTCTCATTCTTTCTTATGAGAAGTTAAACTGGCAATTTGAGTATTTTTGGTAGTTAATTCTTGATCTTTTTCTCTTCTTAAATCATTTAGTTGAGTGAGGGTTGGTCTAGCCAACAAACTAGTTAAGGTTTCTCCTTGGAGTACGACTGGCAAATTATTAAGGTCATTGATTCCTAAAAGGATTTGAAAACGGGTGATGGTAGTCTGCAATCTATCTCGTTCGTTTTGCAAAAGTTGATAATCAGCAAAAGTGGGAAGATTAGGAAAAGCAGCACGTTCATTTTGAATTTGGTTTAATTGATTTTGTAGATTATCAATAGTTCCTTGTTTTTCCTCTTTTTCTCCTTTTAATTCTATTATTTTATTAAATAATTCATTGATATCTTCTTCCAAATTATCAACAGTAAAAGACTTTTTTAGAAATATTTCTTCTTCATTCCTAATAGTTATTATACCTTCTTCCGGTAAATCAGATGGTAATATTTTTTCATCTATACAAAAATTATCTTCTGAATTTAGTTTTAATCTATCACTTAATTCTTTGTCGATATCTAGAGTAATTAGTTTACCATTATGTTTAAAACTATATCTTTCACAAACCGGTTCTTTTAAATCCTCAGTAGAACCTCAATATTTTTTTGGTTGACCTAATTCAGTAAAACCCTCAGGAACCAACTGCTTAAATTGACTTAATATGGCTTGAATTTGTTCTACCTCTTGATTTACAGTTATTTGTTCGGCATAGAGAGGAAGATCATTTTTATAGTTGGTCATGATGATACAAAAATTATTTTACTTTTTTACATTTAGTGATATATCTTATATATATTATAATTTAAATATACAAACTTTATAAGTTTAATTATTTTGTTCGTAATTCAGCACCAAACAACTTTTTTACCTTTTCACTAATCTCGATTATGCTTTCTTCTATCTCTTTATTTTCCAAGGTTTTAGTAGAACTTTGAAAAACTAAATGATAAGACACTGATTTTTGTTTCCTTTTGCCCATCTCAACACTTTGGTAAACATCGAAAATGTTTATTTCTACTAATTTATCTCCTCCGAGCCTTTTTATCTCTTCGATCACTTTATTATAATCAAGATCTTCCGGAAAAAGAAAAGATAAATCTCTCTCACTAACCGGAAAATTAGAAATAGCCTTGTAATTAACTATACGTGGAAAATTAATAAGATAATTAAATATTTTAGTTAAAGAGATTTGAGCAATAAATACAGGCTCGTTTATTTGATAATTTTGTGCAACAGAGGGAGAAACTTGACCTAAAAATCCTATTTTTTCCTTATTAAGAAAAATTTCTGCACTTTGGGAAGGATTCAAAAAACTAGTAGAAATTGGAGAAAAAATAACTGCTTTTTCGATTTGCCAAAGAAAAAAAAAGTTTTCTAGCATGCCCTTTATTCAATAAAAATCTATTTTTTGAATTAATTTATGAAATGGCTGGTTAAAAAATTTACCAACCCCACTTAAAATAAGCAACTCTTCATTTTTTTCAAAATTGTAAACTGAGCCAATCTCAAAAAAAAGTAGATTTTTGTTACTATGGGAAAGATTATAACTAATAATTTTTAAATGGCTAGGAACGAGGGTTTGACGATAATACTTATGATATTCGTTTTTTGGAGTCAATAATTCGTAGCAAGTATAACCCTCTTTGTTTTCTTTAAATTCTTTGCTCATTTTTCCAACCAAAGAATAAGTAATAACTTCTTGGTAACCATAATTAGTTAAATAAGTTCTAATTTGTTGTTTTTTTTTTTCATCACTATTGCTAATGAAAGAAATTGCTTTGAAATCATTAGGCAATTGACCAGTTATTTCATTATAATCATAAACTCTTAGCAATTCTTCCAATAAATCCTCTCGAGTAACGACGTCCGAACGATAGTGAGGAACAATCACATAGTAAAAAGTTCCTTTTTTTTGGCAAAAAAAATTTAGTTGTTTCAAAAGTTTTTCAATTACCAATTCAGAAAACTTTTCCCCGGTTTTTTGTTCAATAAAATTTTGCGTAATGGTAATGGTCATCGGTTCGCTCTTTTTTACCTCTTGATAAGTGAAAAATTCTCCAGAGTTTAAATTTCCTTTATAGGAATCAACAATAAGAGAAATAACCCTTCGCAGAATATATTTAGGTGAAGAAAAAGAACTATTTTTTCGGCAAAAATAACGACTAGCTGAAGTAGTAAAATTTAAGCGATTAGTAGTTGTCCTGATTGTTTTAGGACAAAAGGAAGCACATTCAATAAGAATGTTCCTAGTTCGTGAAGTTATTCCGGTTTCTTGAGTGCCAATAATTCCGGCTAAATCAATAATTTTTTCTCCAGAACTAATAACCATATCCTTAGAACTAAGTATTAAACTACTTTTTTGGAACGAAACCATAATTTCTCCCTCTCGAGCTTGCCGAATTATTAATTCCTTTTTTTCTGGCAAACTGTCATAATCAAAGATGTGCAAGGGTTGACCGCTTTCTAACATTACTAAATTAGCAGCATCTACTATATTATTAATTGACTGTATGCCATTTATTTTTAATCACTCTTTTACTAGTTGAGAACTTTCTTTTGCCTCAATATTTCTTACTAATCCTAAATGAAAAGCTTGGCAATTCCGACTTTCAATTTTTACTTCAAGTATTTTTTGCTTATTTTCACCTATACTTAGCACATTTATCGGCTTAACTCGACAATTCAGGATAATTGCTATTTCCTGAATTATTCCTCATCAAGAGAGTAAATCAGGACGATTAGGAAGCAAATCGAACTCAAGATATATATTTCCTTCTTTTTCAATTAGTTTAGTCTCTAAACCGTGATAAGTTAACTTTTTTGCTATCTCAACGGGAGAAATTGCAGGTAAAAAGAGATTTTCTTTAACGTATTCTCAGGGTATTAAAGGCATGTTTAATTTAATTTTACCAAAAAATTAAAAAAAATATTCCCAGTGAGAAAAAGAGCCGAACGAATCCAATTGTCAACATAACTAATAATTCAAAAGATTAGTTTCAATTATTAGAGGGAGTAATTAAACCTCTTTCAATGATTCACTCCCCGCTTTCCTTAATTAACCTAGCCAGCACCAGGAGAATTTACACTGGCTGGTTAAATTTATTCACTTTTTTACTTTTTCAACTTTTTCTTTAAAAATTTTCTAGGTTTTTTTGCTTTTTTCACTTGATTTTGGTTTTCACTATTTACTTAAATAAACTAAACAGCAAAAACACAAAAACAATAGTACTAAAAACTATTCCTATTCTTCCCATTCACAAAATTACAGTCAAGTAATAAGGAGGGCACTCTTCCGAATTTTTTCATAATTTAATTGCCAAACGATAATAGCAAATAAAAAGCACATAAGCAAGAAAACAACCTATCATACTCAATCATTCATTTTCTAGGAAAAAAAAGAAAAAAAAATAGTTGAACATTATTAAACAAAAAAAGAGGAATGAGTAAACAAGAAGCCTTACTCTAATCTGATAATGAGAAAGTTTTTTAATGATCATGTTGATTTGGCAAAAGACAACATAAATAAGAAAGTATAATAGAGATAAAAGTAAAAAGGAAATCAAAAAACAAAACCGACCTAAATTCCTTCCTAAAAATTTTCCGAAAGAAGTTGTGCTCAAAAAATCACTGATAAAAAGAGAAGACACAAAACTAAAAAATAATAGAGATAAAACAACGAAAAAGTTTCTAATATTCGAAGTTTTTTTAGGCTTCACAGAACTTGCAACCAACTTTATATTCAATTCCATCATTCTTGTGTACTATATGCTTAATTACGTCTTTTGCCTCAACTCCCTTAGAAATCCAAAACTCAATAGTGCCAACTACCTTTATTTCATCTAAAATTCCTGGTCCATACATTTCCATTAAAGCGATATCACTAACATAATAACCACCAAACATTTTAATTACCTTTGTTCTGGCAGCAGGAGATAACTTAGAAGTTTTAATTTCATAAGTATTCTCTTTTAACTCATAAACCGTTTCGGTTTTTGGAATATTATTTTCGTATACCATAATATTTATATTATTTATTCTTTGGTTTCTTTATTTTATTAGAACATAAACACTACTAATCAAGCCTAGTAGTCAAGCATTCTTAAAAGTTATTTAACTAGGTTTAGCCTAGTTTAATTGATCTGAAACTTTTTTGGTGCCTAAACGGCACGGGACGGCTCGACTACGAGTGATAAATAGTCAGCGTTGAAATAGTTTTGGCATAATAGGAATTGATTTTTTTACATATATATTATATATAATATTTTGGTACGGAGCAAGGGACTCGAACCCTCATGCCCTCAACAAGCACTAGGTCCTAAGCCTAGCGCGTCTACCATTCCGCCAACTCCGCTAATCACTTATCATTTTTTTGAATTTTCAATGGTGTCCTGCGAGGGACTCGAACCCACGACTCTTTCCTTAAAAGGGAAATACTCTACCACTGAGTTAGCAGGACTTGTTTTAAGATTTACAACTTTAATCTATTTTTCTGTTTAAACTGAAAATCCAAACAACCAATAGAACTAATAATAACAACAAATTGAGAATCATAACAACCAAAATACTTCTAATACAAAATAATCAACTAGGAAACCATTCATATTTTTGATTAAGCAAATGTAAAGATATCACCAACAAACTAATTATATTACTGACAACTGCCAAAAAAAGTAATTTTTCATTATCGCTCATATTATCTTTTTATTGGCTGGGGTGGCTGGATTTGAACCAACGATCAAGGAGTCAAAGTCCTTTGCCTTGCCACTTGGCTACACCCCAAAAATTATTTAGCATGAGCCCTTTGCAAATTTTTATTATATTTTTCTAGATAAATATTTAATAATTCTTTTTCGTTAATTTGTAATTTTTCGCATACACGATTAAAAGTCTTTAACCATTCATAATAAGTATTTTTTTCTTTGGCTCCAATTGCTCCATTTTCTAAATTATAAAATTTTTCATTTTCTTCTACATATAAATCATTGGTTTTGTCAAAAAAGTCTAGCAATAGTTCATTAAATGGCAAATCTTTTTTTTTGTCTGCTACATACAAAGCAGAAGGCATATCGATTTGTCAAATACCACTCAAGCCTAAAAAATAGCCTAAACAATCGATTAATTCCTCTTTGGCTTTAGCCCAATCAACTTCTGGTTTTTTTCGTCAAGCTTTAAAAGATTTTATTTCATTAGCAAACTCTCCCACTTCTACTAAAAGAGCCAACTTTAATCTTTCGGCATTGAAGTGAGAAATTCATCTTAAATCAGTAGGACTTTTTTCAACAATAAGTTGGTCAAACTTAGCCTGTTTTTTTGTTAATATTTCCCAAGTTTGAACTGTTATCATTACCGTTTTTCTTTGATTTTAATTTTAATTAATTATTTTTATTATTAAATGGTGGGAGGAGAGGGATTTGAACCCCCGATTTTGCTGATCTACAGTCAGGTGCAATGGGCCGCTCTGCCATCCTCCCATTTTTTTAAAATTTTTGCAAACTTACTCCATTTTGCTCTTAATATTCGGTTCTTCTTAAATTAAATAATCAAACATAATTAATTAAATAAACAGCAGTGAAAAGGAAAATAATTGGTATGACCACTCACAAAATTTTTCTCCATTAATAATTAAAAAATGGTGCTGGCTGAGGGATTCGAACCCCCGATCTTCCGCTTACAAGGCGGACGCCGTACCACTTAGCTAAACCAGCCGAAACATTATTTTTTTGAATAGAACATCACTCTTTCTTAAACTATGGTAGGACACGGCGGGCTCGAACCGCCAACCCCCTGCTTGTAAGGCAGATGCTCTCCCATTGAGCTAGTGTCCTTTATATTAGTATTTTAAATTATCATTAATAAAATTTACAAATTTTTTTCTAAATATTTGTAAAGTAGGGTAGTAAAAGTGAAATAAGAAGTCCTGTTGCTACTTTTTCATCGCAAACTGTCCGGAACAAAATCAGCGATAAAAGGTAAATCACCGTGGTCAGCATTACTACAAAGGTAAAGATTAATTTTGCCCTTATTTAGTTTTTTATCCTTAGTTAGTTGGTGATAAATATTAGAAGTCGCTCGCCAATCTAGCATACTATCTTCTAGACCGTGTAGAAGCAATATCTTGATGGGCAACTGTTGCGGCAAATTTAAAAAAGGATTTACTTTTTCTAATTTATCATAAGAAGTATGTAAAAATTCTTTAACCATTTTATCTAACAAAATACTTTTTCAATATTGGTTTATCCCAGTTCCTAAAATATTACTTTTTTGTTTAGCAAAATAATCAAAAGGAGCCTCACAGATGGCAAATTTAACTTCCGAATTGCTAGCTCCCGCAAAATAACTTAATCAAAAAAGGCAAGTCGCGGCTCCCATTGAAAAGCCATAGAGCCCTATTTTTTCCGGCTGAAATTCTCTTTTTACATAAGCAATCACATCTTGCAAATCGCATGCTTCTATTTGACCTAAACTAGTTGAAAATTTACTAGAAATTCCGTGATTACGAGCATCGTAACTAACCACCTGATAACCACGCTGCAAAACTAAGTGCATAGAATAAAATAATGACCAACGGTTATTAGTAACTCCGTGGCAAAAAATAACCATTTTATTATTATTATGGTTCACCAAAATTGGCTTGATGATGCTCCCGCACAAAAGCAAATTATCTTTAATGGTTAAAACCGTAAATTCTTCATACAATCCTAATTTTTTATGAAAATCAAAATATCGCTGGTACTTCACTAAACTAATCGAATTTTTGTTAGTTCCTTTCAACAATTTTATTTTTTCATTAACTATAGAAATTGAAGTTTCGGTATCGCCAATACTTGGCGCTGAAAGCGGTTTAGGATATCATACCTTTCATAAATGTTTAAAAAAGGCTTTAATATTAAATCACAACTTTTGGAACATTTATTATATTTTCTATAAATTTCTAGTCTTTTATTTCAAACACTTTTCCATTCAAATAGGATAAAGAGGAAGACAGGTTATTAAAAATGATTTTATAAGCAAATAAATAAATTTTATCCTTTATTTCTACCTTACCTCCATACTTTTTGTCACCAATAATCGGCATACCAAAAAAAGATAAAATACTTCTAATTTGATGTTTTCTTCCAGTATGCAGAGTGATTTCTAGTAGTATCGAACCGCGATATTTAGAAGCAAATTTTTGCAGCAACTTAGCAGAAATTTCTTTTTGCGAGACTTTTTTAATTTCTAAAGCACAATGTTGGGTTTCTAAATTTGCATCTTTCAAAGTAAAAACCATTTTCTGTTCGCGAGAATCTTTTCTTAAATAACCACTAACATAATTTGGTAAATGTTTTTTGGCAGAGCCTTCACACCAAGCCAAATATTTTTTAGTAATTTGGGTTTTATCACCAATTGCTCTATGTAATATTCTTTTAGCAACTGGATTTTTAGGGTAAATTACCAAACCTTTAGTTACTTTATCTAGCCGATGAACGGCAGTTACAATAAAAAATTCTTCAATTTGTTTCTGGTATTCCGTGGGGTCTTTATGAAAAAGATAGTTACGAACTGAATTATCTAAACTCGGCATGGTTATCCCGTGTTCTTTGAGAATTATTAGAATATTTTTATCTTCATAAGCAATTTCAAAATATACTTTCGATTGAGAAAGCGGGTAAATGGTTGAACTAGGCTTTTCCAAGCAATTATCATAAATTTCTATTTTTTCTCCACTTTTTAAGCGGTAGTGATAGTAACGAACACTTTTTCCATCAATCTTTACTTTTTTATTCCGAAACAATTTATAAATAAGGCTCAACGGAGTAGTTTTGAATCTTTTTTTTAAGAAGCTAATCAGGGTTTGATCGCCTCCTTCTGCTTGAACAATAAAACTTAACATTGAATTTAGATTAAAGCACTAATCGGGATTGGATTTATCAATAATTTGATGGTTGGTTCTCCTAATCTTTCCCACATAGTATTAATTAGTTTTAAAATTCATAATCGGTTTAAATCTTGACTATTTTCTATTATATTAATATATAAAATATTTCATTATGCCAAGAGAGGGTGATAGACATGATAGATGAAGAGCCAAGAAGAAGCAAGAAAGCACTAAA